AATTAATGTGAATATATACTTTAGTTGGAGTCAAAGATGTCTAATTTTAAAAGTCATAATAATAATTTATGGTTTTTCATGTTTTTCTTCTTATTGTATTATCAATATAACTTACATTGTGCGAACAGCACCTTTTGCTTTATAATTTGACATTTTGATTGTTTTCCGTGATGAATGAATCAACCAAATTATATGTGATGGTGTCACAAAAATGGTCAGTTGACGATGTTTAATCAAACAATTCTTTTTTTATGTTATGTAACAATAAAATCAATCCGGTGGAACACTCAGGATTAATTGAAAATGACAGTCTTTTTTATTTTTGTAATAGTCGCGGGACATTGTTTCATTCAAATATAAACGTTACACGAATAAAATTATTATCGTCCACTTCAAAAAAAAAATCTCCGTTTTTCGTATAGCAAGCGATTTACAACCGTAATAAAATTTTTACAGTTAGACTGGGACTTTAACAACAGTTAAAAGAAAAGCCTAGCTTAAATATTGGTTATTCTACGCCAGGTCGGAAGTGTTTCTTTTCTTCACACTTATTTTAAGATTATTGCTCAACTAGTACGCAGACTAAAGCAAATTCAGCAGCAACAGTTGTGCCAAATTGTTCCCTACAAAGTCACTTATAACCACTTGGAAGGTTTGTTAGAAAAATTTTGCTTCTAATTATAAGGGGCTGATTTATAGTTAATTCTAATTCTATAAACATTAAATTTAGATAATATATCTGATATTCATTTAACAATAATTAGGAATTAATTCCAGGATGTCCTGTGTCTGATGTAATGGAAAAGTAAAAGGACATTACTCAACATCTTGAAAATATTGTCCAAAAACCTGAAATTGTGGAACATCTTTTAAACTTAAGGCTCATTTAGCTAATGAATGTCCTACATGTCATTATTCTATTTCTCATTTTTATTTGGATGAAATTAACAATCAACAAAGCAATGAATGTAATAAACAAAAACAAAAATGCCAAGCTCTTTTGTCAAATTTTTATGAAAGTGCTGTTCTAACTGACCAAAGAAAAAATTCAAATTATTTTGACCTTTTCATCACATTTTGTCACATGTGCCCATTTGACAAAATATTTTTTACATTCCAAAATATTTTGTCACCCAACCTTGGTGAGGACCCAAACAAGGTTATTTTCTACTCCCCACTTTTCAAGTAGGGCTTTTATTCATAGTACAAATTCTTATTCGAATTATTCATAATACAGTTGACCTTTAATTCGAATTAAAAAAATTCATTCTAATTAAAAAAATTCATTCGAATTAAAAAATTTATTCGAATTAAAAAAATTCATTGAATTAAAAAATTCATTCGAATTAAAAAAATTCATTCGAATTAATATTAAAAAATTTATTCGAATTAAAAAAATTCATTCGAATTAAAAAATTTATTCGAATTAAAAAGTTTTATTCGAATTAAAAAGTTTATTCGAATTAAAAAAATTCATTCGAATTAAAAAGTTTATTCGAATTAAAAATTTAATTCGCTTTATTCAAATTATTTGTTTTATTTGTTTTATTCATTATCGGAATCTTGGTTTGTTCATTCATTTTATTAGATTATTTGGAATCATGGGTTGTTCAATTACTTAAATATTCAAACTATATATACA